AAGTACAGTGGACAGGACGGGGCTGGAAAGGCAGGCGGAGGCCAGACCTCGGGAGCCTTGTGGGACTGCAAATCTCTTGTGGGCTTGGGTTTACAGCAACGACCTCTCACAGCGGACGTCTACCATAGAGCCTCAACATTCACGACTGATAACCGGCCTGAAGGGCAAGTGCCAGAATTCATGAGTTTGTAGATGTTCACAGCAGGAAGATCTTCCATCACATGTACATGCTGAAGACTGAGTATTTTTGCAGGCCTCACCCATCCGCTCACGGTGTCCTTCCAGCCAATGACACATGCACTCCTGGGGAAATGCGTGCGGTGGTGGGGCTGGAACCCGCCCCCACCCAGTGACCTCGCATTAGGTGGGCAAGGAAAGGAACAGATTTGGACAGACGAGCCCGGGTGAGCTGGCACCCAGCGAATGTCGGCTGAGGATGGGAACCTGTCGTGCTGCGAGTTCTTGGTGGCGGGTTCACCCTGCTCCGGATGGACAGCCTCTGAGCCGGTCCCCAGCCACCCCACCTCTGGGTGTGTAATCCCCTCCCCATGCTTCGTGACTCCCTTCCGAAGGACTGAGTATGACAAACGGGACGGGATGGCATGTCTGTGGTTGGGCTGACGTCTCGCTCTGCTCTTTTGTTGCTCTAAGGCCGCTGTCATGTCACATGTCACGAGCTGCCTGCAGCGGAGCGCGCATGGCAGGTGTAGCGGGTTGCCAGGGCTGCTGGAGCAAAATGCCACAGACAGCACGGCTTCGAAAACAGGCAGTTATTTCTTCACAGTTTTGGAGGCTGGGAAGTCCAGAACCGAGGAGCAACAGGGCTGCTATCTGATGTTTTTACTGTTTTATTCATTTTTTTTCATATTAAACTTGTAGTTTTATTCAGGTTTGGTTTTAACAAACGTGTTGGGGAGAGAGCCCATGGAAGGGGTGCAGCCCAGAGGGCAGGGCCCTCCCAGGTGCCTGAGAAGGAGGCAGGCTCTCTCCCCTCTCCTCATCTACAGGGGCCTGGGAGAGACATGAGCAGGGCAGGGGGCTGGCCCCCAATCCCCTTAGGTTGCAGACGGCTTTTCCTCGGTGCGTGCCGATGGAGTGAGCTCCCGCTGTCTCTTCTCCTGAGGATGCTGATCCTTTCAGGTCAGAGTCCCACCCTGAGACCTCACTGAACCTTCCGTCCTCACTTTGAGGAGGAATTTTCAGCACCCTGTTTCCAAACTGAGCTACAGTGGGGGATCAGGGCTTCAACATACGCATTTTGGGAGACGTAAGTGTTCAGTCCTTAAGAGCAGGGAAATGAAAAGAGTCTCTGGTCAACCTCCAGTGAGGGGCTGACACCTGCCGAGTACCCTGCCCCGCCCAGCACCCCAATCGCTGCCTTGCCAGACAGTTTGACACAGAGGTGTCTACATCATTCCCATGACCCATTTCAACCAGGTATCTATCAATCAATAAGATGGATTTTTCTATTAATTTATCTGTATACTGCACTTCATTTAGCTTTGTTGATTTCCCCCAGTCTTCAATCACTGACAGTGGTACTGATCTTTCCTCCACCACTTTCTATTCATTCCATCGATATTGTCCTGTTAACAGAGAAATCATATCACTGAGGGTCACATTGCTCTGGCAAGAATGAGGGCCTGTGTAGGGACAGACTGGGGCCGTCCCTGTGAGTCCATGGCATGTTTCATCACCCAAACCTGTTGTGGTCTGAGGCAGTGACCCTGTCAATGAACTTCCGGTGTAGTGCAGCCCTTGGCGGTTTTAACAGAGGGCTAAAACTACCAGGCTGGTTTCTCAGTCTGTTGGTAGAGACCATAATAATATCATTAACAGTGTGCAGATTTAAAAACCACCAGTTTGGCTGCCCCAGTGTTCTGGGCAGAATTACTAAGCCATGTTGAATAAGCCATTCCCTGCTGATAGCTGCTTTGGGGCACTGCACTGAGTTGCTGTGTTGGAAACAGAACAATCTGGAAGGTCTCCCTGGTTTGAGTTGGGATCCAGGATTGAAACGCCTGCCTCTTTCCAGGGTCCACGGCATCACAACGGCTTAGCTTTCTAAAAGGATGCAGGACAGGACACATGGCAGGCACAGTATCATCAGCCCATCGGGGATTCCAGCACCCAGGCGCAAGGCTTCTCTGCCCCCGTCCGTACCCACTGGGGCATGAACAGCTGCTGCGACTGAGAGCCAGGATGTGTGTGGGTCACCGTGATGCACTGACAAGGCAAGCTGGGGCTCCTACTGGTATTCTGTATCACAGTCACACAGGCCGGTGTGCCCGCCAGCTCGTGGCTCCGAGTCTAGGTCAGCTCACTGCACAAGGGTTTCTCCCCAGTGGGGCAGACACAACGGCCCCTTTTATCTTCACTCTGTATGAGGAGCTTGGACTCCAACGTCATTTCTCCCTGCTGGCAGCTCACAGGGCATCTTGTTGGCTGTGGGGTCCATGGTGTGGGGGGTGACTTGCCTATTCCTCTGAAGGTCATCCAGGTCCCCCAAAGAGACCTTCATGTATGACTCAGAGCCTGGCATCTAAGGCAGGCCTGTTCAACACGACTGTTCACATTTCCTCTTTGCCCAACTCCTGCTACAGGGTCAGGAAACAAATAGGTTCCATTTTATTTACAAAGGTAGGTAGAGATTGCCCACAGTGCTTCCTCTAGCAGGTGGCAATGCTAGACAATGAAGCCTTATAAATCACGAAGGCCACAGTGTGCAAGCTGGAGACACTCCCAAACCAAGAAACCGTATCAGGACATCTCCAATCTATAGAAAATGTCCTTGGTGCATCTTATGAGGGTCACCTAATATAATATTTCCAGTAACTCTGTGACGAGAGGAGTCTGACCATGTCATAAACGAGGAAACTGAAGTTCAGCGAGGCTAGGTCATTTGTCCAAAGTCATCTGGCTGGTACGTGGCAGAGCTGTGACTTGAACCTGGCTCTGCAGAAGCTGAGTTTGTGCTGTTCGCCAGGAATGACATGTCACAGCTTTGCTCTTCAGTGTGGTCGCTGGCCGAGCAGCGCCAGCCACAGCTGGGAGTTTGTTAAATGGCAGTATTGAACCCCACACAGGACCTGGTCAGAATCTGCATTTTGGCAAGACCCTGGGTGACTCATTTGGCAAGACCCCAAGTGCATGGGCCCATGGCTTCACTATTTGTAGGTCTTACCAAATCTTTCCTCTGCAGGCCTGAACAGCCATGTCTCTTCCTTGGGCTATATAGTCTCTGAAAATGGTAGACTGTGTCAAAAAAAAGATTGAGTCCAATAGCCTAGGTTAATTCCCTAGCAGAACATCTTGACGGTTTGATGATTCTGAAATATTGCTGCCAAACAGGCTGTTACAGAGGCTCAAGCAGAGATGTAAAGCATGGTGACAGGGGCACACTGCACCTCCGAGTGCCCATCTGAGGAGGCTCTGAGGTGTAGTGGGTCAAGATGAATTCTGGCCCCCACTCAGAGGAAGCTTTCAGGCTGGGGGGTTTAGATATGCAAGCACGCGTCCTAATGCGCCAGGTGAGAGGTGTGACAGCTCTATTGCTTGGTGCCGATGACTTTTATGGGCTTGTCCAGGAGCACTGGGAAGATGTTGCTGTTAGTGCTGACGTATCACCAGCTGGCTCTGTTTTGAAGACTCATTATTAATATATTCTGTTGTGATCTGTGACTCTGCTCAATTACGGCAAGTCTATTAGGAATGGTTTTTGTTTAGGAATCTCAGAATATGGGAATAGCTAAAAGGCGATGCTTCTTAAACCCCTGGGCACACAAATCACCCCATCTTGTCACAATTCTAACTCAGATCTAGGCTGGGTTGCTGATGCTGGTCCAGGCAACTCACAGTGGGAATGTGGGGACAGCGCAGGTATGGGGATCAGCTGGCGTGGGCTCAAATGTCACTCTGCCACTTAGCAGCTGTGTGATCTTGGGCAGGTTGCTTAACTTCTCTGGCTTTCAAAGGTCTCTCATATAAAATGGGGATCACTTCTGCTTCTTGGAGTCTTTGCAAGATTTACGAAGATTGTGTGGATTCCTTCCTACTCCCAGAGGGGAGGAGCGAGACCTTTTCCTGAGGCGCTTTCCCTGTAAGTTCAGCCGACACCTGTTATTCTCTCTTGAAGTAGCAAATTCTCCCAGTGCAGGCTTTCTGAACCTCAGAACGACTGACACTTTGCGGGGAGGGCCCAGGGCAGAAGTGACATGGGCCCCACTCTGCAAAGGACAGAGGAGGGAGAGGCAATGGGAGGGGGGCAGAGCAGCAGGGTGAGGGGGCAGATAGGAGAGGCACAGAGGTGATGATTAAAAAAACCCCAGACAGACAAACATGTGCACAGGTGATGCAAGACAGGAGATCGAGAGGACGGGGATGTGGTCAGGCTGAAGGAGGGCCAGCCCATCATGCAGGCCCAGGTCAGCCACACAGGACTCACAATAATGCCCCGTATGTTTCTTCCAAACACGGCCGATTTTAGTTGTAAAATGTTAAAACAGAAAACAAGTCCGCTTGCCAGACAAGTTCAGCCCAAGAGGCAGCAGCTTTTGCCGCGTCCTCAAAAGGCCTTCACCAGAGGGACAGGAACTGAGTACATGCAGCCTTGGAGGAAAGGAGGCCTCGGGTGTTACTACTGCAACTGCAGCGATGATATTAAACACATTTGTAAGCAGCTGCTAGAGGGAAGCACTAACGGCTGCTGGCCAGCCCTGCTCCTGCCCTTGAGGGAAGTGGGGGGTTAAGGAAATTGACTGGAGTGGAATCCAGTTGAGAACATTTGCCCAACTGGATCAAGCCGCTCTCACTCTCAAAACATCCTGGAACGCATATGACAAGCCGGCAGCATGAAAAACACACCCAACTAAACAGACCCTGGCCCAGAGCACAAACGCTGTGTGGCTGCTGTCGGGAGGCAGCAACAGACGCCAGAAAACTGCACCGGGTCACATGAGGTGTATTTGCCATGTTTTAAAAATGATAAAATCCCAAACATATTATTTTCTGAGCTTTTATTAGAAATGTATCACAGGAACAGTCAAGAAGCCATGCTTGCTGATGCGACGGGTCAGGCTGCTGGTTCCACTGAGACCTTCCAGAGCTCCTGCAGAGAACGGAGAGAGGAGTCTCCAAGCAGCACAGGACTCGACAATTTCAGAAAAGAGGGAATTAGCCACCAAGAGCCGAACAACACGTGGGCCACACAGCATGCAGGCTGCTGCAGAGCCGGGAGCTCCTCCAATTTCCGAGTTGCTCTGAGCTGTTCTGTCTAATGTACAAGAGAGGCTGGGAGGGTGAGCGCTGGCATCCACCCACGAGGCCCCAGAAGACACAGCCAAGGGGCCTGAAGAGCATGACCTCCACCTGCAGAGACCTTCAGTGCCATGCGCCGCAGCTGCCGTGCTCTGTAAGGAGCCTGTTTTCTGGGTTGTGATGCTCTCCTTAATGCTGGCAGGTGGACGAGGAGCAAAACATGCCAAGTTCCTAGTGGAGACCTTGCATTCTCACCTGCAGAAGTGCATCTGCCATCTACTGGGATGCTGCCCAGAGGTGGTGACACTGATGGAAGGTTCCCTCTCATCCAGGGCAACCACCCAAATTCAACTCAGCGCTTGCCCGGGGCCTGGGTCGGGAGCGGGAACAAACGCACCCTTTGCCATCCTTCTCCCTCCCTTCTCCTCATTGCCAGGCCCAGGCCTCCACTGGCTAGAGAAAGGGAGGCCCAGCCAGGAGGCGGAGAGGACAGTAATTCCTGACCTTGGGGCCTCTGTAACCCCTGCTCCAGGTAACGGAAGGGGTTTTTAAGGGTAATAATGACTTTTCAGAGCTTTTGATTTTATAACAAATGTATCACAAGAACAGTTAAGAAGCCGTGCTTGCCGATGTGACGGGTTGTGATGGGTTGCGACACTCCCTTTAATGCTGGCAGTGGATGAAAGGAGCTCAGCAGGGCGCCTGGCACATGCATCGTCTTTAGGATGGTCACTCAGGGGCCTAATGTGGGGGGATCCAGCTGTGCCAGGTTGGAAGGTGGCCATCAGACAAGCCTGCCTGGTCCGAGGCCAGCATGTTGCCAGTGAGGACATGGCTGTCAGCACTGGGCGCCTGCATCAGGATACTCATCGGTCGCCGTCCACTGACCTAATGCCTCCCAAACAAACTTTCGCCCTCAGTCCTGTTTCCTCCAGAGCCTGAACTGTCCATAGGGAGGAGCGTGCTGTACAGTCCAAGGTGACAAGCCACCCGCAGGCCCATCCTGGACATGATGACCGCTAAGCACAGGGTGAGAGGCCACCGTAGGTTTCACTCAGCAGGCAGCCTTGGCCCTGGCTGCTCCCCCGTCCCCACATGCAAGGCCACCTACCAGCTGCTGGGTGCGCTCATAAATGAGGAGCTGCGGGAAGGAGGCGTCCACCGGTTCCACCACAAAGCGCAGCTGGCTGTCAGCAAGCCGCTCCAGCTGGTGCAGGGAGGAGAGGAAGTGGTCGTACGCTTCGCACGTGACGTCCAGGTGTCTGAGCGTGAAGTTCAGCCTGCGAACGAGCAGCGGGCACACACACACTGACACCACCACCGGAAAGGGTATTGTGTTTGTCTTGAAAAGATGAAGTCTCTTTCACCTAAAATAAATTTATTGCTAAATATTTAATATCAAATATCCAGTCAAATGTGTACAACCTTTCCTGTCTCCATTTTTTCCTTTATGGTTTATAAATTCAGAGCCTAAGTGAGGTCCACATGCTGCCACTGGTCACATGCCTTGATGGGGGTCCCTGACGTTCTGGGTATAAACAATGTTGCAGTGGACATGTTTATGTGGACACCTCTGCACACAGATGGGATTGCTTCCACAGGGCAGATTTCTAGTGCTGAATGGCTGGGTCAGTAACTATGTTCAGTTTTATTGCTGCATATTCCAAAGTGCCTTCAGGAAAGATGTGTACTCTCGTAAGAATTGGAGAAAACAGTGTGGAAGGTGTCTAGCACTGCATCTAATGACAAGACAGACACATGTCAACAGAGCCCAAGTGCTTTAGGATACTCAGGTGGAAATTCCTGGAGGAGCTGTCTGCAAAGGGAGAGGACAGAGCCCAGGGCGCTGCGGGGCAGACGGCGTCCTGGAGGGAAGGTTTGGGAAGAGGAGAGGCCCTCCACCTTGCATGGGTGGCGGCCACGCAAGTTGGCATTGGGGCACAGTCTGCACTCAAGTCCTCATTCCCCTGATGAGCAGCTGTGGCCTGGACAGGCTCCCTGATGTCTTCTGCCTTCCTCTCTTCATCTGTGACATGGGGACAGTGTGTGGACTGAAGGAGACCCTGTGTGTAAAGTGGCAGCACTGGCCCGGTGCACAGAAGGTGCTCAGCACGTAAGGGACAGTGAGGATGCGCTGGAACACACTCAGATGAGCACCTGGCTCTCAGGAGGACCACAGGGGCTGAGGGGCAGAGCTCACCTCTTCTCCACGGAGAGAATGGCTACACAGGCATTCTTCAACTGGTGAGCGAGTCGGGAGAGCGTTTTAAACAGAGCGTCAGTTAAGTCATCATCGTAGAACACTGTGGGAAGAAACCAGGCATCGGGGAAACCTGCTAACGGCAGAGAACTCCACCCCTCAGAGGACCCCACAGGTCAGCCCCACGGCCTGAGTCCTTGTAACCGTGGATCCACAACGGTTCTGATTAAAAACTGCACATGGCTGGGGTCGGAAGTCCTGGAATGATGGTTCTAAGAAGCAAAGGCCTCCGTGGAGGGGCGGGACCCGGCGCTGCCTAGGTGGGGAGGAAGCTGGCAAGGACGCGGTGGGTGTTCTGACCTTCGGCTGCCAGCAGTATGGTGGTGTGCTCGTGCAAGTCGGAGATGTCCTCCTGGGACCAGCTGAAGGGGAACGTGGGATCTGTAAAAGAAGGAAGTTGGCGCGCCCTCCCTTCTCAGTGGCTGCCTCACAGATCTGAATCCAGCACCCTGGCTTCAGGGCCACGGCTGCCCGCGGGGAGTGCCGCAACGAGAGGTGCCCTTTCTGCCACGGTCTGCCTCAGCCGCTGGGGGGCAGGTGGATTTTCGCCTTGCCCGTGGCCTCGGCACATGATCTCTACCTCCATCCACAGAACTGCTGGCACCAAGCATGTGCTGTGTGACCCTGAGAAAGGTGCCTCACCTCTCTGGACTCCAGGTTCCCACCAGAACAGGCACAATAATGCTTCCCTCACAGGCCTGTGGGAAGGGTCAGGGACCGGAAGGGCCTGGGGCTTGGCAGCCACCAGGAGCTCCACAAGCAGCAGCCCCTCACCTAATATCTACAGAGCAAACTTATGCAAAGAAAGAGCATTCATGCCAGTCTGAAATAGTCTGTGTGAGACTTCAGAAAGCTCTCCCACCCAGTGGGCCGAGCCCACATGGCCCACCTCGCTGTGGGCACAGGGAAATGGGCTAAGTCCTGGAGCCTGGCAGACTCGGGCTCATACCCTGCCCCTGCCAAGCACCCGTGAGACCCTGGGAGGCACTTAGCCTCTGAGCGTCAGTCCTTGCTCACGGTTCTGGGATTTTCGCACTGACCGTGCAGTGATGCCATGAAGTCTGAATGACAGAACGAACGGAGGTGCCCGGCATGCAGCAGGGGAACACAAAATGACAGCTGTCACTCAGCCAACGGAGAGAACCGCCAGGAGCTGTGGGACCGTGGCAGCAGTGGGGGACTCTGCTGGTCAGCCCTGGCCACAGGGCGACGGCCCCGAGGGGTTCCCAGGGGCCATGGAACCAAATGGGCCATGAGAGGAAGGCACGCACCCGTGCAGAGGTCATCCTCCAGCCAGTTCAGTTCTTTCACTTTAACTATTCCACCTGAAAAACAAAGGCAGGACGACGGCCAGCTCCCACGACAACCCGAGGAAGAGGGAAGCTTCTCCACTACACACCCAAGTCTCCTGTCTCCCTCCTTCCAGCACTTTTTGAGTTCTAAGCATCAGGCCCTGTGCCTCACACAGGGAATACAAGGACTTATGAGACATATCCCTGTCCCTGGGAGCCAGCAGCCTGGGGCAGATCGGCAGGCGAGCAGAGCCCCACAAGGCGGTGTGGCCAGGACAGTGCTACGAGGACACGTGGGTGCAGGAGGAGAGAGGATCTCCGTGCCAGATGGGGTGGCAGGGAAGGCTCGGAGGCGGGGATTCGTGCCTGCTCCTTCCTTCCAGTCCTTGGAGACTGCCTACTGCACGCCGGGCATTCAAGCAACAACGTGCTGACGTGACTGGGGCTCAAACACAGATAGGCTGCCTGCGTTGAGCACGCGGTCTAGGCGACTGGCAGGCACCAGTCTTAGTCACACAAACATGTGAAAATGCAAGTGTCTGAGGCAAAGGGAGTCTCGTAGGGCACTGTGACCTTGTCTGCAAGTGTGAACATGGTTAGGAACAGACAAGAGTGAGAGAGGCCACTGCAGCAGAGGGAACAGCAAGCGCAAAGGCCCCAAGGAGAGGGAGGCTCCAATGGGCCAGGAAGGGCCACAGACGGCGGCGCCAGCCCCCTCCGGGTCCAGAACCAGCAAAGGAGCTTGGTCTGTACTCAGAGAGCAACATGAACCCTCTGACGGGCCTGAAGCCTGTGGGCTGAAGTGACCTGGCTCGTCCTGGGAAAGCACCCAGGCTGCTCGGAGGAAGGGGTCAGACCAGAGCTGGGGACACCAGGAGGGGGCTGCTGTGACCTCTGGGGGGAAGAGAGCCCAAGCAGGAGGTGGCAGTGGGGTGGGAGGCGGTCTCATGACCCAGGACCTGAAGTTTTGTGAAGCCAACACGTCTGCTCCCTCCGTTCACCAGGGGGTAACGGGCAGCAGATGGGACCCGTGTCCCAGTGTCCCGGTTCTGGCTTTGTCCCACCTGCCTCACAGAGGTTCCACCCCAGGCGGAACCCATGGGGCCTCACCTCCAGCAGCAGTCAGGTGGCTGTTGAGAATAATGTTCTGCTGGCACATGGCCAAGAGATCGGCACCGACATCTGGAAGGACAGAAGGATGTGCCGTAAGGCGCCAGCCGCTGCGTCACTTTCATCTCCACGTCCCTGCTGGAGAGAGCTGGTGTCTGCAGTGTGACGGCAAAAAGCGGCAACACTGAACGGAGTAAAGATCCCCCTCCGGTTTTCTGCCAAAATCAAGTATGTTTACCTTATGGCTCTTTATTACAGAGATCTTCTCCTTAAATAAGAGATGCCCACCCTGGTGAGGACAGATCGGTGCATTCCAGAGGGAGGGGCGCGAGCACCCACACGGGCAGGGCACGTGGCCAGCGCATTCTCTCCACAGCCCCCAGTGTCTCTGACAACCCCCGAGCTTGTATCATGACTCCCGCTTCACAGATGGGGTGGCAGGTGAAGTCACATAGTGAGTGGGGGCAAGGGCTGGGGTCTGAACCCAGGTGTCTGACTCCAAATCCAGGCTTGCTCCTTGATGCCCCGGGAAACCAGCCAGAACCAGAAGGGCATGTGGATGTGATTAACTGAGCAGGCTCAGACAGGCTGGAGGCACAGTCTCCTGAACTGAGTCCCCGCCAGGGCCACCATCTGTGTCTGCTGAGTCACTTCCCACTCTGACGGGGGTGGGGTTTCCCGTCATTTCAACAGGAGGGAGTTGTAGTGCAGTCAATCCATGATGGGGACGGGGACAGAGGTGGGGGCAGTGTTTTGTCAAAATTAATTTTCCATTAGGAGAACGTACATGCAGAAATGGAGAAAGTCTAGTTAACAACATCTTCCCGGCCCACTGCGGTGTGGATGCCCCCAGCCCACGCCCTGCAGAATGCCGGGGTGCTAGAACATCACCACCATCCCAGCAACCACACAGAGCCTGTCTGGGGAGGGGCTCCCTGATCGCTGAAGGGACACACCTCCACCCCTGTGCCGGGGCTTCGGGTCCAGAGAACAGTGATGGCGTGTGCCTGACAGCACGCGCGTGCACGGCAGTTTTCAAGCCTTTACTGGTAGTTTTTGTCAAAACAGACCTTGCGTAGGCTCCTAGCCTATGAAATAGGTAAGAGAGGCATGGCTCTGGCTGAGTAGGGGAGGGAGCCCTGGAGCCCTGGGGCTGCCCCCCACCCCCAACCCCATCTCTCTTGAGCTCAGGGAAATCTACTCCATGAAAAAGTCTGACATGCCCCAGTGATGAAAGGCATCACGCTGTGAGTTGGTAGCTACGCAGACGAGCTTGGGCCAGCCCTCTGACCTTAGCCTTAGTCTGCTCATGTGGACAGAGGGGAGGGTGATGGCTCTGGCTACAGCCGGGGTCACTGTGAAGTTACAAGCAGGTGCTAATACAAGAGTAACTTCTTCATGTCTGCAAATCCCTCTCAAGAATGAGACAGCTCGATTGCACGCTGCCATTAGGCTCTAGGCACAGAGCAAAGCTCTTGGTGCGGCATGATGGCTTGACTCTGAGAAGTGCTCTCTCCGTCAGTGCCATTTACATCAGGTTGTTAAGGAGCAGCAGAAAGGGTGGCTTTGCTGTAGATTCCCAACCGGTAGTTAACTCAGGATGTATGAAAAGTATGCCCGGAACAGAGGCAATCCTTGGTTTCCCCTTTCCTATCTCAGAAACAAAAGACCTGTACCAGGAAAATGGGAACTGGGACTCACTGATGCACACACATCAGCAGAGACTAAAGATAAAATTTAACAGTGATAATGATAATACTGACCCATGAGAAATGGCTAATGAAACTGACAGAGAGCCTTTCTAGACAAGTGTGCTGGCGGGTCTGGAGCAGTGGATGGTTCTGTGCCCTGTCACTCTGCTGCTTTTGATCATGGCACTACGGTTATGTCAGATGCTGTCATCGCAGCTGGGAGAAGGGTATGAGGTCCTTCCTGCAGTGTGTCAGCACTTCTACATGAGCCTAGTACTTCAAAATAAAAAAGGAAATCAGTTGGAAATATGTATCAAAAACTTCAGGAAGGTCACACTCACTTCTAGGAGCCTAGTGTAAAGGTCATCAGACAACACAATGGTGTCCACGGCAGTGCAACTGACAAATTCAGTGAAACAAAAACAAAACACATGGGAGCAACCAAAATGCCCAGCAGAAGGAGACTGTGTTTTTTTTTAAAAAAGGGTGAAATATTACCTGGTCACTAAAAGTTAATACTTAAAAATAATTTTTAATGACACTGGGAAAAGTACTTTCAACTTCTTTAGCAGGATACAGCACTGAATATATACATATAATGACTCCAGCTACTGTTATGGGATACATATGCACAAAGAAGGAAACAGATTGTAAAAAAACAGATACAGACAGTTGGATACAATACAGACCCTACAGCTCCCCGAGGCCAGCAACTTGGTCTGTGTCACACTCCCTCCCGGACCTCCACATCTAGAACCGTCTCTGGCATACAGCAGGCTCTCAATAAATTGCACACTGTTGAATGGATCTGGGGATTGTACAATTACGAGTACAGTCTATTTGCTGTTCTACAGATTTCCCACAAACAGTAGGCAAGACTTCTATAATCAGGAAAGCTGAGTAAGCCTGTGTGTAAGCCCTGCGAAGGCACGTCCCTCACGGTTTTCAGATGTTGCTCTCTCTCAGGGGGCTATGAGAAGGGGTCCCAGCAGAGCCACCAGCGCCGTCTGCAGCGGGAGTGGCTCCGCGCCTGCCGGGTGTGGCTGAGTCACTCTGCTATCACTGAGGAAACGATGGCGGGCAGAGGAAACCAGCTAACACGGTAGCAAAACCGACAGCAGCCCAGGTTCGATTTCCAGTTCCCCCGCCCCGTTCTCCGTAGAGAGCATTTGCTCTGAGAAGAAACTGCCTCCCCTCAGAGACAACCTTTATGTCATCTGATGACCCTTACACTAGGCTCCCAGAAGTGAGTGTGACCTTTCTGAAGTTTTTGATACATATTTCCAACTGATTTCCTTTTTTATTTTGAAGTACTAGACTCGCGTACAAGTGCCAACACACTGAGTGGGCGGAGTGCATGTACAGTGTCGTACCTGTACAGTAGACGGTCCGCGCCACGGTGGCCGCGACGATGCTGGCGAGCCCTGTGCCCGCCCCCAGCTCCAGCACCGTGCGTCCCCGGAAGAGTTCCCGTTGGAATAGGATGTAGTCCGCCAGGAGCAGGGACCCCCTCCACACCTGGAGGGGAGGCAAGGAGCAACAGGTGATGTGAGGCTCTGGGGAGACCCTTGGCGGCCACGGGAGGTGAACAGGACCTACCCACCTGCTTGCCGACATCCTCCAAGGGGGTGGCCATGGTGTGCTCTGGACGGGATGGAGACCGAAAGAGAAAGGGCCACTGTGAACGTGGGGGTGGACAGAACACAGACTAAGTGGTGCACAACAGCTGGCGAACATGGCTGGGTGGGTGCTGGCGCGGGTGCTGCGGAGAGCCTCGGAGCCGGCAGAGCTAGCGGTGGGAGCGGGGCGGGGCGGCACTCACAGGCCAGGCGCAGCAGCTCGGTCTTCCCGGTACCCGGGGACCTCTGCCCTACAGCCCCAAGACCAGGGTGACAGCAGGTCTCGGCCCAGCCCAGCCCACACACATACCCTACACTCCACTTCATGTGCAACAACAGCACATTACAGTCATCACACATTTATGTGGCCTCCATCAACCATATGCTCACAATGATCACAACTCATGCCAGAGCATTTTCGTACACGGAGAACCACACTGAAGTCAGTAAAGTAAGTTTGAGTTCACACCGTTTTTTAGGTGAAGGGAAGAATGAAGTATTCTCATGCACAAAACCCATTAGGACAAAATCTGGTGGTGGTGGTGGTGGAAGGGAGACTGGAAACACAAGATGGAGGAGAAAATGGAATGATGCCCAACACTTTTGCTGTTACGTGAGGACTGGCTGTCTGGGTAGGTGGTGGGGGCTATCAAATCAAAACACACCCAACCCTGGCACAGCAGGGAAACCTGGGCTGCTCGTCACACTTGCACAGATCAAACCACTTGCTTGTGACAACACAGGAGCAGGGACCAAGGGACCGACGGGCCGAGGGAGGTGAGGAGGGCTTGGCTCGGAGCGGTGTGGGTCAGCTGCCCCTGCCCCCTCCACGGGGCTCTGCCCCGGCAGCTGAGCGGCCCTGCACTCTCACGGTGTGAGCATCCAGCCTTGCTGAGGTTAGAGGGCAGTGCTATTCACACCACTGGGGTCCAGAGCACAAGGCAACCCGGGCCACCCCTCCGAGGGCCTCTCCGGGACAAATCTGACCTGAGATTTCTGCCCTGAATGCAGACTTGGTCTGACCCCTGAATAAAACGGGACTAGCAGACAATAAAAATGTCCACTAGCAGCTGGCCTGGGTTTGATATTGTGGTTTGAAAGAAGTTATTTTTAGTAAAATATGCTCTTTTCAGAAGGACTTAAGATTGTTAAAGCCTAACATGTACCCATGTGGTTCGAAATTAGACCAAAAATATGTCCACCGACCCCCTCACAACTGAGTCCCCTCAGTGAACACTTACTGGACGGACAGCCCCCCTGAATCGGGCCTCGGGCTGTGCCACTTTCCTGATCCTCACAGCAGCCCTCAGAGGAGGTGTCATTCATTTCATTGGGACTGAGGCTCCGTGTTATACTGGTAAAGTGACGGGGAAAGGGTACCTGCTCTGCGACAGGCGCTGCACTAAACGGTCGGTAAGATCTCATTTAATCCTCAAAACCACCCGAGACAGGTTCCAGTGTCGTCTCACAGGCGAGAAGAGGAGGCCGAGGGCAGCGCTGTGGGTGGCCTGAGGCCACAGACGGGATTCCAAGTCATCGCCTGCAGCCGGCCTCCTTCTCACCCCCAGAAGGGACACAGTTGAAGAAGCCCTGGGTACAGGTTCCCAGAATAAAGGACCTGGGGACTCGCCTGGCAGGTTGAAGGTTGTGTGTGTACATGGGGGGAATGAGGCGATGTAGGTAAAATATCACACCACGACAGGTGCTTACTTCCTTCCCTGCTTCTCTACCACTCCTGGCCCTTCTAAGGCTCCGTGTCCCAAGATTTGACAGCATGGTGTCACCAAATGCCTCTGCTCCGCCCCATGCCTGGCAGTGGGCGCTCTTGGTCCTGCCCCCGAGCGCCTGCGGCAACCTCCTTCCTGGCCTGCTGTCCTGCCACCTGATCGCCTCCCCGTCCTCACGGGGCTTCCAGCCCCTTCGGTCCAGCTCCCGTCTGCTTGGCCTGCAAGCAGCTTCAGTCTGGCCTTCCTCCCTCTCCCTCTGCCACACTCCAGCTCCGGAATCTCTTCCGGCCCAGGCTGGCAGAATCTCCCACAGTCTCTCGCCTGGACCCACACCCGCTACACACCAAGTTGGGTCAGAACACCAAGGCAGGAGGTGGTGACAGCAAGGCTTTCTGAAGGAGCTGATGGCTAAGCTGGGACAGGTATGACAGGAGGAAGTGCTAGGAAAGCAGGGGCTGGGGGCGGGCCCTTCAGGAGGCAGAGCACAGAGGCCCACAGGTGAGCAGGCACAGGGAGAGGTGCAGGGCTCAGGGTGGAGTGAGGTGAGGCTGGGGAGCGGAGCAGAGCCTCATCATGCAGGGCCTCGTGAGCTAAGGTGAGTCGTTTGTTTGGACTGTAGGCTGAGAGCAATGGGAAGCCAGCGGGGACTGCTGAGCAGGAGACCGATCTGTGTGCTCGGGAAAGCTCCCCCAGGGGCAGGGCCACGACTTGTTCCCGGTTCCGCCTGAACTGGTTCTGCACATCTGTCTTGTCCTATTATGCCCCGGCTTGGACCTGAACGTAGCACACTCGACACATACACCCCTACACTCACACACACCCGACACATACACCCCTACACTCACACA